AGAATCAGAAACGCGTCTGGATTGTAGACGTTAATAAAAGTTACAGACCAAGTCCTAGTCGAACTCGCAGAGCACGTAATAGTCGGACTCGCACACCGAGGGTTCCGTACAAACCTGCGGATCGCCCCCATCCCTAGCCGCTATTCTCTATCGTAAAACCGATTTTTGGTTAAACCTTTAACCATTAGTTCAAAAATTATTACGTTTTCTTTACATTAAGTAATTAAAAGAAAAAAAACTCAGATTTAAAGTGTATAGCCTGACCAGGAACATAAAAACCCTCGCCATGTTGCGGAAAACTAATGGTACTAATTTCTTTTAATGGCAACAGTAACTGAAAACTTCATTGACATGTCACCTTGCATGTCAGTCTATTGTTGTCAAAGTGTAAACAAACTTTATTTTAAATGTGTGCAATTGATTTTGTGATTTAAATTGCTAAAATATTTTTATAGTCGTGAAAGAAAAGTGGTTCACAATGTGTTAACGTATTTGTCGAAGAGAAATACTAAGGGTTCGGACAATATTTTCATTGAATAATGTTTCCGACAAAGGTTGTCAAATTGACTGACATGTTTATCGTATAGTACAGTCCACTATGAAAAATAGCTGTAGTCTGTTTCAACTACCTATTTTAAAGTTTTTTGTCACTTTCTAAGTTTTGAATTTTATGGAATTGGGAAAGAAGTACCGAGTTTGAAGCGTTAATGAGCAGACATTGCAGTTGAATATTCAAGTTCTGAATTTGATTATTGATGAATAATAAAATAAATCCTGCTAGCTAGATTGATGGTTTCATTTAATTTATTTAAACCAGGTTACCTTTAATAATATTTTTTCGTTAATTTATGAAAATATCAGATTAGCCCGTAATCCTGAATCCTGATGCATAAATTTAGCCTATTAATTTAACACATGTACGACTGTACTCAGTGTTGCACTATCAAATGCGATTGACGCGCCTCTATGCCAGGGTTTTTATGTTCCTGGTCAGGCTATAATCTGGTCTGTGAGCACGTAGAATTTTGTCCAATCATCCAATGACCCCAAGCTACCCATCCTTATCGCTCGCGCGTAATTATGTTGCTGTTGCGCTCGCACACTCACTGCGGGCGCCCGTCGCACAGTCGCGCGAGCGATAAGGATGGGTAGCTTGAGGTCATTGGACTAAATTCTACGTGCTCACAGACCGGGCTTTTAGGTATAAGTTGTCTATTCGTCTAGTGTGAATTTGGCCACCCTCTGAAGTAAATGATAAGTTGTCCATTTGTCTGTAAAGTGGGAATTTCGCCTTTTGTCTATTTACAAGTACAACTTAAAATGTATATTCCAATGAATTTGGTATGGCGAAGTACACTATGCGGAATATTGTCCAAGTCGAAGCGCACCGAAGTATTGGTGACGCGCGGGTGAGGCAAGGAGGAAGTAGTAGAGTACTTATTATTATTCTGTGGTAGTAGTCAAGATGGTGTTCACACTGTTATAGATGACCCACGCTGAACTGTCCCACCAAACTCAATGACAGGGGGGCGCTACTATCGTTCAACTATATGGTTTCCAACATGGCAAAAATCGGAACCAGCGATCCGGTATTGACGGTGGCGCCCCACTGTCAATGTCATCGATAGGACAGTTCACTATTTTGGAACTATAACAAAGAGCATCTATTACCTACCACAGAATACCTAATAGTAGCAAGTAGTAACAGAAATTACAATCCTTTGATCTGAATAACTACAACGCGACTAGACGACGAACGAAATTCACAAATTCGTATCGCGGTGTCGCTTTCACCACAGCTAGTTCAAACGAAAACAAAACGCAACTGCTTCTTTGTGTAAAAACAGGTAAAAACTGAAAGAAAGCTACATTTTTATTTTACATTACATTTAATTTTGCTGTTATTTAGTGAAAAAATTAGGTGGTCTGACTTTTATTGGAAAGTGATTAAATCCGTTGTTTCGTCTTTGTTTGCGCGTGAACTTTACCGCCGTAGACAGAATGAATTTGCACCTCAGCGCCAATGTACCTATTGGTGACGTTATAGATGACCCAAGCAGAGCCCCGATTACGGTAATTTTTAACGTCAACAATCCAGACACGCTTCTCGATTCTGCGATTGGTCGTTCAACAGCGTACGTCAGCTGTTTTGACCAATCGTATCGCAGAATCAGAAACGCGTCTGGATTGTAGACGTTAAAAATTACCGTAATCGGGGCTCTGAACTGTCCCACCAAACTCAATGACAGGGGGGCGCTACCAGCATCGCTTATATATGGTTTCCAACCATGAAGNACGAACGAATTCAGTCCCGTAACAGTTACTGCGATATCGAAATCAGTGGTGATAAAAATTCTAACACACTTGTACATTGACGATTTAGCTAGCAACCACTTTATGTCATGCTCAACTACTGCGCAATGTATTTAATTTCTTCCGATATCCACTGTCGTGTGAAAATACACAGTACGGCCGCATGTGCCGGTCGTAACATAGTGCCGTGCTCGTGTTCTAATGCGGTTTCCTATTATCGATAAATAGAAGTAAATTATAATTTTCTATTTTGTAATTTTAAATAAAAAAATGATGGTGTTACTTGCGATTATAAGATTTTACAAAAAAAAATAATAATAACAGTAAAAAAATAAACTGTCAACTACGTAATTACTATAAGAGCTAGTTGAAAGCCTAATATAGGCATTATTTTTGATAAACATTATGCGGTACGCAGATCGCCATAATTAAAAAGTAAAATGCGTGATTGTAGTTAATAATAACGTATAATAATAAAAAGGTTTTCATACATAAGCATTTTGTGAAACCAGTTTCGAGCCGTGCCCTTAAGGCACGCCTTCTGGCCAATCACAGCACTTTTAAGCCGGTTGCACATGTTGTCGTAGACTCTCAGACGCTTTGTTTTTACATAGTTGAATGTGTGTGTGGGAGCTGTGGTGGGGGAAATGTGGGTACACTGGTTCTCGTTGTAGTTACGCGCGACTTCATATAATCTATTCTCTTTCTATGATCTGAGGTGTCACACCAAATGGCAATGCCAGATTTTGTATGGAAGGTGGCGTCTTTTTTTTTTCGCGCGGCCATCGACCAAACTTTGTTTTTTGATTACAAAATAGTGTAATGAACCAAACTTACTATGGCATGTATACCTCTAAACTCAGTCTGAACTGAGTTACGAGCATTAGAAGTTTGATGATTTTCATACTAGATTTGCTTTTTGCGCGCAGGTTTTGTAAGAAATTGCAACAAAATATTGCGCTATTTTTTATTGCGCTGATTCTGCTGCATACTGATGTCTGGAGCCTTTAATGGATGGTATTGTTTGTTCACACATACAATGTCACTATTTTGTTGCAATTTCTTACAAAACTTGCGTGCAAAAAGNCCTCATTTCGCCTTTTGTCTATTTACAAGTACAACTTAAAAAATATATTCCAATGAATTTGGTATGGCGAAGTACACTATGCGGAATATTGTCCAAGTCGAAGCGCACCGAAGTATTGGTGACGCACGGGTGAGGCAAGGAGGAAGTAGTAGTCAAGATGGTGTTCACACTGTTAAAAAAGAGCATCTATTACCACAGAATACCTAATAGTAGCAAGTAGCAACAGAATCTGAATAACTACAACGCGACTAGACGACGAACGAAATTCACAAATTCGTATCGCGGTGTCGCTTTCACCACAGAGCCCCGATTACGGTAATTTTTAACGTCTACAATCCAGACACGCTTCTCGATTCTGCGATACGATTGGTCGTTCAACAGCGTACGTCAGCTGTTTTGACCAATCGTATCGCAGAATCAGAAGCGCGTCTGGATTGGAAACGTTAAAAGTTACCGTAATCGGGGCTCAGCTAGTTCAAACGAAAACAAAACGCAACTGCTTCTTTTTGTAAAAACTGAAAGAAAACTACTTTTTTATTTTACATTACATTATACATTACATTTAATTTTGCTGTTATTTAGTGAAAAAAATAGGTGGTCTGACTTTTATTGGAAAGTGATTAAATCCGTTGTTTCGTCTTTGTTTGCGCGTGAACTTTATAGTTCCAAAATACTGAACTGTCCTATCGATGACATTGACAGCGGGGCGCCACCGTCAATACCGAATCGCTGGTTCCGATTTTTGCCATGTTGGAAACCATAAAGTTGAACGATGGTAGCGCCCCCTTGTCATTGAGTTTGGCGGGACAGTTCAGCGTGGGTCATCTATACCGCCGTAGACAGAATGAATTTGCACCTCAGCGCCAATGTACCTATTGGTGACGTTATGATGACCCAAGCTGAGCCCCGATTACGGTAACTTTTAACGTCTACAATCCAGACGCGTTTCTGATTCTGCAATACGATTGGTCAAAACAGCTGACGTACGCTGTTGAACGACCAATCGTATCGCAGAATCGAGAAGCGTGTCTGGATTGGAGACGTTAATAATTACCGTAATCGGGGCTCAGAACTGTCCCACCAAACTCAATGACAGGGGGGCGCTACCATCGTTCAACTATATGGTTTCCAACATGGCAAAAATCGGAACCAGCGATCCGGTATTGACGGTGGCGCCCCACTGTCAATGTCATGCATAGGACAGTTCAGTATTTTGGAACTATTTAATAATTACCGCAATCGGGGCACAGACACAGAGCCCCGATTACGGTAACTTTTATTAACGTCTACAATCCAGACGCGTTTCTGATTCTGCGATACGATTGGTCAAAACAGCTGACGCACGCTGTTGAACGACCAATCGTATCGCAGAATCGAGAAGCGTGTCTGGATTGTAGACGGTAAAGTTACCGTAATCGGGGCTCTGGTCTGGGCCAATTTATCTGTGGCCAATTTCACGCATAGTGTACTTGCGCCAGTACACGGGCAGGGTGACTTTATCAAGGTCGCTAAGAAAGATTGATTGTACACTATCGCTTTGTAATCTGTGATTTACTTCAATTTACTTGTGTACATTTTCGCATTATTCGGACCAATTCGGAGTATTCGGACTGGTTTTGGTGTTGGTGCTTGCTGGTAATTTGACTTTCAGAGAAGGGGTAGCGAAATTTAGTTTCGGCATCGTAAAATATTAACTCTGTTGTAGTTTTGACTGGTAAGAATTTTCGAACTGTATTCTTAATAAAGCATTTTATTAATTATTACACACTTGGACTAATGAGAGAAAGTGATTGTATGTATGTAATAGTCGAGTAATTGTTCGTGTTGAAACGGATTTCTCTTGCTTACACGTCACAAATTATTTTCAGGGAATTGCTAATATATTAAGTCTTCAGATATTAACTGTTACCGAAATGTAACCCAGTGTCATCTTTTTTGTGAAGCGCAATAAACGAAATCCCCCGGCGAATCCACGGTAGGTACCGACATAACATACCTACTCTTTATGAGTATCAAAAATACCCTTTCCAAATGGTGAATTTTATTGTTATAAAACTATGTAGTAATCGTCACAAGGAAACACAAAAGTACACAGTTGTTTTTTACATTAATGCTTAACTTCAGAGCTAGATATCTTGATGATGATGAGATTCACACTAAAATTGTTATTTTGTTTCCTGTAATATAAACAACATACTACATCAAGGGAAAAATATTATAAATAGATTTTGAAACTGATAACTTTTTTACATCCCACTGTTTCCTAAGTGACTAATTATTTATTTTCTTCGCCTTGTGCACAAATTATGTCAGTGTTAAGCTGTTTATGAGATAAGCATAGAGCAGGATAGCGGAGTGGTATGGGGTAAACGAAGTCTGAATGCATTAATGTGGCCTTTTCATGTACATATATTTTTATTCAATTTTTATTTTCAGTTCAATTAACCTGAATCCATAAAAGTATCCAGTATCCATAAAATGTTTGATGCGATTTGTCTGTTGTTGTCTCTTTGCTAGGTTACTATTGTACATGTAATAATGAGATCATTACAGTTAATAAATAGGTATGCCCCAGCAATCTTTTTCAGTCTGAATTAGTTTTGCCATTATGTTGAAAGTTTCAAAACTTCAAGTGTTAGGGGTATTTTAGTGTCTCATAAAAAACTTTGAAATCTAAGAATACTTAATAGGAATTTACTTGCATTTGAAATTACTTAAATGATGACATTTATGCAAATATAGTAACTACATAATATGTATTATAATAATAAACAAACCATACGTTATAAAAAGTACCTAGCTAAATAAATATATATTTTTTATTTCTAGGTTTTAATAATGGCTGATAAAGAACAAGTCATTCAAGCACTTCGTGCTACCCTTATATCTGTTAAGGGTGCATTGACAGTAAAACAGTGCAATCGTGAGTACTCAATTTTCTTAATTAAAGAGGAATATTAATCTTCTTCTTCTTGTTGTGTCAACAATTAACCTACACAGCGTCGGCCTAAAACTCCGCCACAAGAATGGCATTGCCTTCATTAAATCTTCCTGCGTGCAGTTCTTGGGCACGCAGGGCACGACATCACGACTGAACTAATCAAAGAGACCAAAAAAGGTACAAACATTTTAGTAGTATATCCTTGAGTGCCCAGTATGAAAGAGGCCTATGCTGTTCAAATTTATTAATGTAATAGGATGAGGTTAATATCCTCACAGTTATTTAAATCGGGAACTGATAGCTAAGGATGTGATTTTAAGGTTTGGTTAAATATTTATATATTTTCTTTTAGGGGATTATAGGGAACTTCAAGGGGAATGGATCCCTTTCAAAAAGTTGGGTTATCCATCTTTAGAGAAATTATTCCTGGATGTTCCTGGATTCAAAGTAACTCAAATTAATGGAGAATGGTATGTGGATGCCATTGCAAGCCAAGAAACCCAACATATTGCTGCCATGGTCGCACGGCAAAAACCAAGCAAGAAAACTAATATAAAACTGACTAATCCAGTAAGTACTTTAACATCATAGGTGCCCAATGAGTGGTATTGCCCTCCAAGGGTGATGGCGCTTTTCGGGGAAACGGTAGTGGTTTCTAAGGCAGGATTCACATTGACCGGTGCGAGTCGGCGCACAGTGCAGTGTCCGTTCGGTCAAAAATGCGATGGCGCTATCCGCTGATATGCGCTCGGAGCCGACCGGCTTCCGACGCATGCTCGCGCATCGGTCCGGATTGAAATGTCAGTTAATCAGTTGTAAGCAATTACGATTCTAAGGCTTGGTTGCACCATCTTACTTTAACTTTGACAAACGTCAAAAATCTGTGAAACTCCATACAAAAAGCACTGGTTAACCCATAATTACTGTCAAAGTAAGATGGTGCAACCCACCCTAAGAACTGTTAATATGGCAGGATTCACATTGACCGGCGCGAGTCGGCGCGGGCATGTAGTGATCAAACTTTAAAGGCGTAATCCATGGACAATTTTATCGATGAAAATACTTCAAAAGACAATGCCGGAAATTGGCGTCTTTTTTTTTCGCGCGGCCATCGACCAAACCTTGTTTTTTGATTACAAAATAGTGTAATAAACCAAACTTAGTATGACATGTATACCTCTAAACCAGGCCTCCGTCACTCGCCTATGCCGGCCGAGATAATTACCTACAGCGCGCGACAACTTCAAGTTGCAAATCAGTCCGGGCCGCCACGCGCCTGTTTGCACACGCGTATCTATACACGCTCGGTCGATCATAGTCGCAATCAAGGTTTATTGTTCCAACAGCACTGTTATTCTTCTTTAAAGAAAAATTGTAATATTTAGGAATAATATAACTGTAGTGAAAAAATAATAAAAAAAAACTACACTTTTTAAATAATAAATTATTTTGAAATACTTATGACAAAAAACTATAGCAAAAAAATTATTTTAGCTAATAAAAACATTAACTTTACTTCACCGTGTCTATTTTCCGACACTACACCTTTTAAAACTGTTTGTTAATTTCGAATTATCGCAACACTGAAGTTTATTAATAGGTACTTTAGAGATGGTACGATTATACAAACTCCACTAGATTAAAGTTTTCAAATCGTAAATACAATAAATACTTCTTAAAATTAAGTTTTTATTTATTTTACTTTGCTCATACAACCCTGACGCTTGAGCGGTGACGTAGATCAATTCTAAACACAAAAAAAATGCGCTCTTGTGAGCGTAGTAGTAAGGTGCGATTTCGAATGCACCATGTGCGTTGGATATTTTGCATTATTATTATTACCGTTAAAATGTCGGCATCTGATCCTACACAAAGAAGTGCAATTTCTGTTGCTACTATTATGTATTCTGTGGTATAACCACCCTGTATAATCCGGCTGTATCTCCAGGTCACCTAGATACATTCCATAGCAGCTGTAATAGACATTTAAGTACATACATTTACCAATTTTGGTGATAAATAGGCATTTTGTATTAGTTTTTGTATAACGCCTGAACAAAAACAAAGGGTAATATTTTAGTGTTATACATAGATTTCGAATATAAAAAATATATAATTTAACTAATTAAGACATGACAAAAAAACTGAGGTATGTCTCGTTTCTGTCGGGTCTGGGTTTTTTTTGTATGGGGCGTGACCGTTCTTCTTTTAATTTAAAATGTCAATCTTATTATTTAGCTATACGAATACAACAAAAAAGTTAAGATTATTCCGTATTCTTCATTACAAGGGTACATTTTAACATAAAAACTGGAGATTTTTTAAAAAATACTCAAATCTTGAATAACTTGGAAATGAACAAGTTTCGGACATGGTGTCATATGACTTAAATGACTGCAAATAAGCTCTACTTTAACCCCTTTCAAGGAATGTATCGCTTTACCTGTCACCCTGTATAGTAACTACATAATATGTATTATAATAATAAACATAAACCATTCGTTATAAAAAGTACCTAGCTAAATAAATATATTTTCAACCGACTTCAAAAAAAAGGAGGAGGTTCTCAATTCGACCCGTATGTTTTTTTTTTTTTTTTTNTCTAGTATGAAAATAATTAAACTTGTAATGCTCGTAACTCAGTTCAGACTGAGTTTAGAGGTATACATGCCATAGTAAGTTTGGTTTAAAACACTATTTTGAAATCAAAAAACAAAGTTTGGTCGATGGCCGCGCGAAAAAAAAAAGACGCCACCTTCCATACAAAATCTGGCATTGCCATTTGGGGCTTGACCCGTTTCTCGCAACATTACAAGGATTTAAGTTTTTAATTTTTAGTTTTCACCTCTTCCTTCAAAAACAAATGAAAGCGTGGGTAACTTAACACTAATAAATATTTTTATCATGCGATAGCCAATAAAATTATCTATTAGTTGAAGTAGAAAACAGACACAAGTTTCATACATTAAAGATACCCCTTCCCAGCGATTCCATAGCGCGGCTAGTATGTAGTCGGAATAGGTTGTGTGATTCTTTCAGGCAGTGCATTTTCGCATGTTATCAGCGCTATGGAACTGCTGGGAAGGGGTATCTTTGTTCAACAAAACAATAAATTTTTGCTTATTAGTGTCAAGTTACCCACGCTTTCCCTTGTTTTTGAAGGAAGAGGTGAAAACTAAAAATTAAAAACCTAAAACCTTGTAATTTTGCGAAAAATGAGTCAAGCCCCAAATTTGAAGTATTTTCATCGATGAAATTGTCCATAGATTACGCCTTTAAAGGCTTGGGCAGACCAAACGCGGGGCAGTAGCAGCGCAGTTTGAATGCGGGCCCGCGCAAGTTGTAATACAAAAAAGAAACTCTTTGAAGTGTGTCACACTCAGATCATAGAAGGGAATAGATGTGAAACGGGGGCGTGGCGCGTGTCTCCGCGATATGCCCAGAAACGAACATCGGCCGCGTAGCTAGGTTAGTCGCGATTCAGTCGTACTAAGGAAATGTTCTCCAATATTTTGGATAATGCGTCGTTACGTGCAATAAAACAAGTGAAACGAAGAACTACAGGAACAATGGAGTCATTTACTACATGTAAGTATTGCAAATCCATTGGTATTTTGCTTATAAATAAAAAAAAACTGAGCCGAAAGTGTGCTGTGTGTGTGAAAGCTTCGTGAGCGCATTCAGAGGGCAGCTCAAGATATTCAGCAAAGTTTGACAACAAGAGTCACAAAAACAGAAGTGAGAAACAGACTACGAGCTTGTATTAGAAGACGGGGCTCACAGTTTGAGCAGGACTTAAAATAATGATAGATGATGACCTAACTAAATAAAATTAGGTGATACAATTACTATTAAAATACTAAGTTTTTCATTTATTGAGACCCAAGAATAGTTGTTAGTGTGACTTTTATTTATTAATTTTTTTATGAAAGTATCTTACTAGAAGTTTAAATTCAAATAAAAAAATAATTATGTAGTGTTTGTTAAACACCTGTACCTTTTTGAATAGCTAATGAATCAAGGAACTAAATTCTGTAATTTGTACACAACATTCCATACATTTTTTCTTGGTAATTCTTCGTTTAATTACCTAAAACGTATTTTTTTTGCAAAATAATACATGTTTTTTTAGCTTTTACTTGAGTAATGACGATTCTTTCTTGCAAAGAAGAACGGTCATCTGTGACCCAGGCCCGACAGAAACGAGACATACCTCAGTTTTTTTGTCATGTCTTAATTAGTTAAATTATATATTTTTTATATTCGAAATCTATGTATAACACCAAAATATTACCCTTTGTTTTTGTTTAGGCGTTATACAAAAACTAATACAAAATGCTTATTTATCACCAAAATTGGTAAATGTATGTATCTAAATGTCTATTACAGCTGCTATGGAATGTATCTAGGTGACCTGGAGATACAGCCGGATTATACAGGGTGGNGCAAAAAGCAAATCTAGTATGATCTTCCTATTTTTTAGAAATATCTCATTTCCTGTGGGTTTTTTGCTATTTGTATTTATTATCAATATTGTAGAATACTAAATTCTACAATATGTGTACAAAATTTGTAGAGAATTTAGTATTCTACAATATTGATAATAAATACAAATAGCAAAAAACCCATAGGAAATGAGATATTTCCACAAAAAGCGCAAAAAACCGATTTTTGTGACCTTTGACCTTAAAATTTAATAGTTGCTTACACCCAACCAATCCTACCATATGTAGGTTTTGAGACAACTTTTAGGGTGTCAATATACAAGTATTTACAGACTTACAGCTGGGTATCTCTAATTCCGAGATTCTTACCTAATTTAAGCTTAAATGACTGGACTAACTGCCGAACGACAAACGAGGCGGTGCGGGTGCGGGACAAGCGGCTCGAACGCGGGCGCGCGCTGTTGTATTACTATGGCGGCCATATTAGCATGACACACCGGACGCAGGGCGGTAGCAGCGCGTTGAAAGCGGTTTTCGAATATTTAAATTTTTGACAACCGCCCGCGTTGCAACTGCTTTGAAACTGCGCTGCTTTCAGTGTGCCTCAGCCGCGCTGCAACTAACCCGCACTGCTTCTGACCTGCGTTTGGTCTGTGGAAGCCTTGAAGTTTGATCACTACATGCCTGGACACTTGTATAATGACCATGTATGTAGGATTGTAGGCAGATACGTTTTCTAATATTCATGTTTTCTTATTTTCAGCATAGATTACCAAAAAAGCAAGGATCTTGGCGTAAACCATTTGCATCATCCAGTTATTCTTATAACTACAACAACCAATACTCAAACCAATATTATAGAGCCAAAAGTGCAGCACCTTTTAACAATAATAGTTATAATAATAAGGTAAGGGAACCCCAGAATAGTGTAGTGCCCACCCCAGGATGTTGGGCTACCGATTAGAAGATGATAGTTTGCTATCAACTATTACTCACTCATGTGTTTTTATTAGAAAAAGCACAAAAACCTATTCATATAAAATATTTCTTTTTTCACTTCCCAATATCACTTTAGTATGCTGTGATTTATCCCGATTTGATTTATAGATTTATCAAATTTAAATAAAAAGTGTAAAATCGAATATTTACAGCTAACGCAATATAATGTTACCAAGTCGATTGAGACTGAAGAACCGTCTTCTTTGGACTGTTATTGATTTTTCCTTTTAGAACAATCTAGATTACAATTTATAAAATAAAGACCTACATAAAAACGCAGATGGTCTCGAACATAGTAGCTTTTCACGTTTTGTATGAAACAAGGTTATTTTTGATTGTTTTTAACTCTACACGACGGATCAAACCAATTGCATTGACCTCGGTCACGAGCGAGTTTCTGTGCCTGCCTTCATCAGAGGGCTCGACGAAATCAATGAATTAAAAATATAATATTAATAATCTTTTTCTGCAGTGTGTTTTAGTCTTTAGACCTAAATCACATTATAGGATTTTATACAACCCAATATTCCGACAGATAAACTGTTAGAGTATGCGCACACCGTTGATTTTTAGTTGGCCGATAGTTGTGCCCGATTTTAATTTGTATGAAGAATCGGCCAAATCGAATCGGCGTAGTGTGCGCACTCCAATACATGCCCATACTGATCAACTGCCCGACTTAACTATCGGCCGACGAAAAATCAACGGTGTGCGCCTACTCTTAATCTAAATCAAGCGAATCCAATTTTATACTCTTCAATTGATTCAATATTTCAATGCCAGAACCCAGTCGTGAACAATTAATGTTAGTTATTCATTTAAATTATTTACTGTTTTTAGTATAATAACAAATACAGTTATAAAACCGAAACGAAAACTGCGCCTCAAGCGAAACCGGTAACTAGGACAGTGAGTGAACAGCAATCCGATAAAACTGCATTGAATTCCGCCAAAAGTTACAATACAGCTCCAGGAGTGCGGGAAGTAAATATTCTGTCTGATGAGGTTTGTGATCTTTTTTAATTGTATGTTGTAAAAAAATCATTGTTATAGCGCCAAAAATATCTAGAAATATTCTTTAAAATTGTTATTATGTAAAATATTACTATAATAAAATTGAAATGCAATTTATTAATAGGAAAGAATAATTATGGGTTTATTATTTTTCGAAACAGTTCAAACATTCCGTTCGCACTGAAAATGAAACAGACACCAAGTACAGCAAAATATCAGCCTCCCAAAGATTATCAAATTTGCGAGATCGCCTTAGCACAGTAGATCTAATCCCTCTGCAACTACCGGCTACTAAAAACGAGTGTCTGGTAAGTATACTTTGTATTAATTAATAACTTCTTAAATAGTTCATAAATGCAGTCGGAGGCATCAATGACTAATTCTTTTGTTGGTGATATGTAATTGATGCCTCCGACTGCATTTGTGAACACTAATGCTGGATTTCTATAATATTCTATCCTAGTCCAAGTCGGACGGATTTGGATTGTCAACTGTCAAATTTCATTATGTTTTTGGCCAAAATATCTGCGGTTTTCGATGTTTTTACATTTTCATATTGTTTACAAGACTATTTCAAAAATATTAAAGTGTAAATTCACCGAACATTTTGGATATTTAATCTAAAACTTAATTCAATTTGACAGTTATAATCCGGATTTGGACAAGGATTGAATATGGGAAACGGGCGTATGTTGTCTGGTTTTTATCTTTTTAGTTCATTTTTACGCAGTTGGGTTTTTTTTTTCAATAATAATTTTATTTAAATCTTTTTAGTTAAGTGTACTATACATTTTGTAAGCTTCTTAAAAAGCCCTTTATTTTGATACCCCACGTACGGCGTCTAAAATCCGCCAATTTGTTGTTTTTTTTTTCAATTTTAATATAGCCAGTGTCACTCTCATGAAATAAGATAAATCTAACGACACCTCTCACGCTAAAATCGGTCAAGTCGTTAAGGCTGTAGGCCGTGCCAAAGAAATATACATACCTACATACACTCGAAAAACATAAACCTCCTTGTGGCGCAATCGGGTAATAATAAAAAATTTAAAGGACGTTTTAATTGTATCGAAATAATTATTTCACTGATGTTCTTAATATTGAAATCCTTCCAACTTTTTTTTACGGCAAATAAAAAATACATATTATTATGACATCATGCCTATTGAACTTCTTGGATGACTGCGATAAGGAAACAAAACACAGGCTATGTATTAAAAATATTAATTGAAATAAAATGTATAATTTACTCATCACATCAATGTTGCACATCTTACTATATAATTTTGTTGCAAAATTGCCTGTATTACAATGAGATAAGACGTCATTGTGTTTATTGGACACCAGCCACAATACTAAGTATAGTATTGTGTTTTTTTATAAAAGTATGTTTTTTAATTACAACATTTTTTACTTCAGGAAATAAGTGGCCCGGTCACTAGCGTTACCCCCGCACATAACTTAGAGCCGCCTCCAGACTCTTCATCTTCTGTATTAAAATTAGAGTGGACATGTCGGAAACTTGGACTGCCACTTCCAGTCTACAAAGTACACAACATCAGGCCGAAGCGAGGACCTGTCAGCTACGATTGTACAGTTAAAGTGAGTTCTATGATTATGAAATGATTTTATTGTCAATATTATATTGACAATAAAATCATATTATATTATATTTAATAAGTCTGGAATATTATGGTGAGCTATTCCAAATGTTCCAAGTTATAATACGTTGCTTCAATTGCACATCGAGGTTCCTTTATAGTTATAATTATTATTGTTATGTTTTCTTTATTTTTACTCGGAAGTCCCTATGGTCTTCGGTTTTAACCATAACTCACGGGCACATGCCAAGAGAGTTGAGTTTTCAGAATTGATAGCGGAGTTGGAGTCGTCCTGCATGAACTTTCTGACGATACGACAGGTGTTGAGAATCGCAGCCTTTTGCATAGTCATATAAATATTTTCTTTAATGTCTAAATTGCTTAGGGCAGTTAGCAAGTGGTTTGGGATGACACTCGTGCTGGAGAGCACCAACGGTATAATGTATTATCATTATAATTATTATTACTGACGGGATTGCTACCATGTACCTACCTTAATTTTGTGTTTCCAATATTTCTGCACTGTTGCCGAACTTTATACACTCAACATCAAATAAATCGCACCTTCCGCGACGCGAACTTTAAAGATTTTCTTCTGACACAATCATGGTGCCCCAACAATATTGGTGTTATTTGAAAGCTCAATAAATATCCTTAAAGTAAAACACATTTAATCTATACTGAATAATGCGAAAGTACCTGTCTGTCTGTCTGTCCTGCTTTCATGCCTAAACCACTGAACCGATTTTGATTAAATTTCGCATAGAGATAGTTTGAGTCCCGGGAAAGGACATAGGATAGTTTTTATCGCGGTTTTTGAAACAGGGACGCGCGCAATAAAGTTTTTCTGTGACAGACAAAATTCCACGCGGGCAAAGTCGCAGGCGGAAAGCTAGTTTCTAAAAATGTATACCATAAATGTGACTTGAAAAAAGACCTTACTTTGGGCTCACCTCTGGGATCAACTAGACCAATTTTTATGGTTATGAAACCAAATAATGATCTCACGTGTCCTCTTTAACAGATGGATAGCGATTAATCCCAACTTAACAGTTTTATAACCATAAAAGTTGGCTCAAGCGTAACTACCTATTTTTTGAAGAAGTGACTGGATTCTTCTAGAGACACATTTTTTGGGGTAAAAACCTTTCCTTTAATGAAATGAAGTTTAAAACTAGGCTTTTAAATGGTGCCAATATTGGTGGGAAGTGGGGATGCATACGTTTGAAAATGCTTATCGCGGGAGGAGCGGGTAATTTGATGTCGAGTGTAGTTAAACCTGTAAAACATGAGTTTAACCGTTACAGGTTGGGACTTCATATTCCTCTTCATCGTATCCTGACTCCTCTCCTTCCGAGGAATTAGCTAAGGAAGTGGCAGCTGTTAAGATGTTAGCGGTTATCGAAAGTTCAGAAGCTGGCGGCATGCCCACGTCATCCAGTACCGACGCTATCGCGTGCCTCACCGAGCTCGTCTCCGAACACGAAGCGGGTCTTTGGGCGAGTACTGTGCCACATTTGTACAGGTGAGAACTTTAATTATGTTACGTAAGGAATTCGAAACACAATTTAAAAATTACAATTACATTGGAATCTATTCAGATTGGGTTTTCAATTGATAAAAATATGCTTTATAATTAATTTATGCGTATGCGCGTAATATGCCATACCTATGGGCAAATCAATTTTAATTTATTTGTTTTTTGATCACGTATTATTTATACAATACCTTTAGAAAAACTTGTTTAGCTTTCAAAATTCTCGTTGATTTTTAAAGATGTCTGATAATTAAATAATATAATAAGTTCATATTGTCGGCCGTTTGGTGTAGTGGTTCAGAACGGACTACTATGCCGAGAGGTCCCGGGTTCGATTCCCGGCCGGGCAGAAATTGAAATGATGAATTTTAATTTATGTGACGGGTCTGGGTGTGACTATGTATAATATTTATGTATTAAAAAAAAAAAAAAAAAGGATATAAGTAGTATATCCGTTAAGCTAGCACCCATAACACAAGCATTAAGTTGCTTACTTTGGGGCTAGCTGGGTAGCTGGCGCTGTGTGAAATTGTCCAAAGATTTATTTATTTATTTATTTTGTATTACTTTAAGGGAAAAGTATGGCGAGAATTTACCTAGTAACTGGCAAGAATTGGTTGAAAATTGTCCCCGAATTATCAAAGACCGAGTTGTAAATGGGTTGTTAGTTCTTCTTCCTAATAATGAGGTAAGACTATTCTATTTCATTAGAAAATTCAATTATGCAACCTTACCAACAGTGTGTAGATACTAAAACAAAAAGAATCTAATTGTTTTGTTCTAAATGTCAGTGTTACGTACGCTCGTAACACCGAAAACGCTTATTGAGCGAAAATAACAGCTCATAACGCATTGTGTCACTGTAAAAGATCCAAGTTGTGGCAATGAAGACAAGCCTTGACGCGTTCTAAGCACTAACTTAGCCGTGTATTTCCAACGAACTGTATAGTTATAAAAAATCTCACTTACAGGAAGTGGTTATACCACCACAAGTAGAATCCAATATCTCCGATGATACTATCGACAGTGATCTGCCACCTTTGCAATTCCCTGAAGAGGACTTTTGGAACGTATTTGTAACTGTAGCCAACTCCACCCTTGAAATCTGGCTTAGGATTATTGGACCTCAGTATAGTGTAAGTATATATTAAACATGTGATAAACGTCTAAAAATAATATACAGGGTGTTAGGTAAATGAGCCGACACTAGCCCATGTTAACATGGGCATATAAATGGTATGGTGAAGTCAGTAAATTTATATCTTCTATCTAAATCAATATAAAGCGTGGCACCTAAACTAACGCAAATTTAAACCGTTATTTATTTTTAAGGACGCCTTCGAAACACTTCTGGCAGATATGGCAATATATTACGAGCGTTCGGGTACTCCCGTGGACAAATCTATGTTGATTAAAAATGCTTGGTAAGTTTTTTACACTATATGGATAGTACTAAATACTTTTAAGCTCGTGATTGTGAAATAACTTTTTAAATTGTTACATCAATTTACAGGTACGCGGTGAATTTAGACGATGGCGGGTGGCAGCGCGCTAAGATCATGGATATAGACGAAGACAAGGCAACTGTTTTTCTAGGGGATCATGGCGACGACGATATAGTCAATATACATAAAATAAAAATACTCGAACCGCAGTTTAGAAGATTGCCTGCCCAAGTAAGTTTTCTGTTTGGTGAAAATATCTCGCACATTTTGATTTGAGCTTCTTCAGACTCAAAAGTCTTACCTACTAGGACTTAATTTTTTACTGAACCAGTTAAAAGATCAGGCTGTATCGTGCTTCATTACCGTAAATATGTCACTGCGGTTAACGTAATCATTTGCTATTTTGCATTTGCAACCTTGAAATTATGTGAATAATGTATCACAAACTATAAGTCCTCGTTTAATGAGACGCCAGAAGGTCTGTAAAGAATAAAAGTAGCTGCAGGCGATAACGTATTCTCATATCGGGTCGTCTGTAGCGGCGCGTGTTCAACAGGCGATAACGTATTCGAATCGAGTGACATCGAGAGAGGTCGTCAGTGACAACGTGGCGTCCTGCCATTCTCTACAAGGCCAGAGCGCGCGGTTGTTCAGTGATGACGTGTCGGCAGGCGATCCTGTGCCGGCTGGAGGGCGCGGAGGAGCTGGCCGCGAGCGCGGCGGGCGCGGCGCTGGTGCAGCGGCGGCTGCCGGGCGAGGTGCTGGTGGCGGCGCCGGGCCCGCGCGCCGACCCCGCCGACCCCTCCGTGGCGCTCGTGCTCTACGACACCTCCACGCAGCGCGACCTCAACCTCAACAAGGAGATCGTGCAGGACTTCTGCATCGCCGGCGCTTTTAACCTCACTCAAGTAAGACTCCGCCCGATTTTAGCATCCGAGAAATTGTATGAGCAGCGCAGTTGTGGCGCGGACGCGTGCGACGCGTCTCGACGTGCGCGCCGGTGGCGGGTACTCGCCGCGGATGCAGACTGGCGATTGTCAGGTGACTGGAGCGGGCACCCGCGCAAGTTGCCCTTAACCCGTTTTTTTCAGCCGTTCTTCTCCGATGCCGGATTAAATGATTTGACAAAAATCCAGAAAACAGAACTTTTACTTTATCTAATTCCGTATTATTGACGTGTAACTTTGGACCTAGAAAAGGTAAGTATCTTTTGGGATTCAGCCTTTTAAAATGACTAACAAGTGCTCTTATGTATATCCGCTCGCCAACATGAAATGTCTGTATTTAATATTAAACTTAACAAAAAGTTGCTCTAAAGAGCTCAATACGTGTCTTTATCTTTTAGGCTCTACCAGCACGAGACATCAAAGACAAAACAAGTGCTGAAAAGGAGGATCCGGAACCAAATCAGGCACCAGTAGTTGTTAGTTTTTATTTATAGTATTTTTTGTAATATTTGATTTAAATAGCATGGTATTTTGCTCAATATTTATAAATTCATTCAATTAATTGTATTGTGTGAATTGGAGACTTGAACCATTTGCCAGTCAGTGAATTCTTTGCAAAAAAAGCATCAATTATGTAATTGGTTGTGTCAACTGGCCAGTTGTTGCGTAAAACAAGCTACTGGCCACCAAGTAACAGTTATTTGTAAGAAACAATGTTCATTGCTCATTCGAATGAGCACAGTATTAATTACTAATTCGAATTAGGTGGTGCTTGTCTGCCCAAAACTACAGTTTAAAAGTTGGTGGCAACTGCATGTTTGATTTTTGATTGTGGTCAAGTCTTACGACTTGTGATTTTTAGGTCATGTTTTTATGTACCTATTATTTTAATGTTATTAATAAAGTAATGGTTTGGGGCGATAGATTTATATTATTAGTAACATTAACTACAGAAATTAACTGAATTCGATTCTGTACAATTTACGAAGAACAATGAGTTTGTCGACGTTATGCTTCATTCTTATAATTTTATGCGACCAAATATAGACTCATCATTACAACAAACAAACAAATTAATAGCAAACTAAAATGTCATATTGGATTCTTTAAAATTGGGTGTGTGTGTTCATTATTGAAGTGTTTGCATGGTCTGTACTATTTAAGTATGTAAGTATATTTGTCTTTCCAGTTTTTACTTCAAATCAGTACACTGACTTATTAATTCAACAACCAACTTAAATATGCAAAAATCGGCCAATCAGAAATGATAAAGTGAGTTATAATGTCAAGTTAATTAACTTACTGATTTGTCCTAAAACTGGTGTGTAGTTTATTTTGCATTTAGCAGCAAGTTTTTAGTAAACTTTGAGAAAGAGCCTTATTTACATCATCAAATATTTTCTTCCTTCTGTCTGTTCCTCTACGTGCTCCACGACATCTGGACGCAGCGCAACATCAACCAGGAAATCATACAAGAGTTCTGCATTGCCTGCACTTTAAATGTAACTCAAGTAAGGACATAATTCTTTACACGTCTCGTCTGTATTTGTTTTTGTTAATAAGAGCTATTTTAGCTCTGAATGTTTCAGATGACAATATACCTATGCCTTTTGGAGTTCGAATGTATATTGTACAATCACGGAATTATCTAGTATGTTAAGCGTGTAAGGGAAGAATTGGTTTGTTTTACTTATAAATACTAAGTTTTTCATCGCAGTAAGCAAGTTACATAAGATTGCGGTTGCATACTGTGGTTGGGCTACCACCTTTTAGTGGTTAAAAATATATTTACTACTTAATTTATTTTTATGTAAATACACAATTTAGAAACGGCACTGTAATTATGTAAGCATGACTCAATCCACTACTCTTTGTTGTCAATGAACTTATTTTTTTCTATAATGCCCAGATATAGCTGCTGTTCCTTCCTGTGTATCTTTTGAGCCTTATGACTCGTAAAGTCATATTGTAAGAATCTTGATCGGGTCTGTAGCTTACCATGAGTTTAATCGCTTTCGAGTAAAATATCTATGACAATTTGTAGTTCTTGGCAGTTACCGCTAGGGGCGTTGTACAATTTTACGTTTACGTTTAATGTTCGTTTGTTAGTTTTAGCCAAATGACGTCCACTGCTGGACAAAGGCCTCCCAAGGATTTCCATAACGACCGGTCCTGCGCTGCCCGCATCCAGTCTCTTCCCGCGACGTTTAATTTAAACTCATGGTAATAAGCACACATAATCCCAACTAATATTATAAATGCGAAAGTAACTCTGTCTGTCTGTCTGTCTTTCCCGCTTAAACCTCGCAACCGATTTTGATGAAATTTGGCATAGAGATAGTTTGAGTCCCGGGAAAGAACATAGGATAGTTTTTATCCCGGTTTTTGAAACAGGGACGCGCGCGATAAAGTTTTTCTGTGACAGACAAAATTCCACGCGGGCGAAGCCGCGGGCGGAAAGCTAGTTATGTATATAACAAAAGAAGCGCGTTGACGGTCTGCTTTTGTTTTGTGATCGTAGAAGCCATGCGAAGTGGAGGTGGGGTGCGTGAGCGAGGAGGGCCGCGTGTGGGTGTCGCGCGCGGGCGGCGCCGTGCTGGTGCGCGACGCGCTGGCGCTGCTGACGGCCGGGCCCTACCGCCGGCCGCTGCCCGCCGCGCCGCACGCGCCCTCGCCCAACGCGCAGACGCTCTACATCGTGCGCACGCTCGCCGGCGACTGGTGAGAGATTTGCGATTCTTAGAAGTACTTATCACAAACAAAGTGTGATTATTTACTATGGTGTTTATTTTAAAATAGCGTATTGTGTAAGTAAATCCATATCTATACTAAAGCCCGGTCTGTGAGCACGTAGAATTTTGTCCAATGATCCTTATCGCTCGCGCGTAATTATATTGCTGTCGCGACTGTGCGACGGGCACCCGCAGTGAGTATGCGAGCGCGACAGCAACATAATTACGCGCGAGCGATAAGGATGGGTAGCTTGGGGTCATTGGACAAAATTCTACGTGCTCACAGACCAGACTATAACATGATAAAGCTGAAGAGTTTGTTTGTTTGCAAAATTAAAATGTTGCAAAAACGCCAAACATTATTCAAACTATGTTCACGCGTACGAATCGCGTTCACAGCTAGTTACTAATACATATGTGGCGGCTATCCGCCACATTCCTAACTTGGACCACCGCCTTAGATATTGATTAGACGTGAGGGTAAAGTGGAAAATAATCCAATTTTCATTACGATCCTCATCAACTATTATAAAAAATACCTTTATATGGTATGGTATTCACCCCATTGTATTCTGTATGACGGTCCATAAAGATCTATTTAGCTTTAAGCGTTATCTACCTTATGTTACATTATGGTGATGCAAATAAATAACTATCTNTGTATGTTCACGCGTACGAATCGCGTTCACAGCTAGTTACTAATACATATGTGGCGGCTATCCGCCACATTCCTAACTTGGACCACCGCCTTAGAGGCTTAGATAATAATGATTAGACGTGAGGGTAAAGTGGAAAATAATCCAATTTTCATTATAATCCCCATCAACTATTATAAAACATACCTTTACATGGGTATTCAACCCATTGTATTCTGTATGACGGTCCACAATAATCTATTTAGCTTTAAGCCTTATTGTTCCATTATGGTGATGCAAATAAATAACTATCTATCTATCGACTTTATTTGTGACTTCAACAATAATAATTAATTGCCTTTTTACTCCTCATCTATATTCTTATTTCTTTGCTTGCCAGGGTACGATGTACGATCATCAGCGGCCTCGACGGTGAAGGCACTGTAAGAACTCAGCTGGTGGACAGTGGACTGATTTTGCGAGCACCGTTGTCGTCCCTGGTGCCACTACAAACATTCTCTCCGGCCCTCAACGCCTTTCCGTGGCAGGTAAGTTCCTGAATTTAGGTGCTTTTTAGAAGTAAACAAATGTGACCTTGTCGCAATATTTTTTCCCCTTATAGCCATTCTTAACAAAGTCTACTGTAAACTGTAAATCCTTGCACCAAAATTAATCTCAAAGGCTCTAGGTTGATTTTGTTTGCAAAAAGATCTGAAACGAATAATTTTAATGTATAAACTTGAAAGAGTTGAGGTGACTTGTGTGTCAGGTTACAAAACCAATGTAAAGAGTGAAAATTAAACCTTAGCCAAAACAATTTTTTGTACTACTAAAATTCTTACAAGTTACTTGTGAGATTAGCACTTTGTATCAGTCGCATCGCGTAGCGTGTTGTCGACTAGCGCTAACCGCAGTGCGTGCGCAGGCGATGCAGGTGCGGCTGGGGGCGGCGGAGCGCGCGGTGGGCGGCATGGTGGGGCGGCTGCGCGAGCTGCTGCTGGGCGCGCGCGTGCTGTGCCGCGCGCTGCCGGCGCCCGCGCCCGCGCCCGCGCCCTCGCCGCCGCACGTCGAGCTGTTCGTGCGCACCGGCCCGCAGAACATCCTGGCCTCCGTCAACAACGCCATCCTCATGGAGTTCGAGTATCTCCAGCTGTGAGTCGCCTGAATTATTACGCGTTGTGAAAGCTTGACTTACTCGACTTATGGTCCTATGTCCCCTAGATGGGGCAGAGGGCGTCCACAACGGTCCTCCATCTCGTTCGGTCATCATCATTGTGAAAGCTTGCCTTGGAAATATCATCTTAGTGCTTGTTCACGTTGACTCGCGGGCGCGGTGGCGGGCGCGGTCACGAAATATCAAACATATGTGCGCGCGATTCATTCGCGACGTCAGGTAAGTTCAACCAGTTTGAACTTGTCGCAAGAAACGATAGTATGTCACACTCGCGCGAACGCCTGGTGGTTAATGTGAACACGAGCTCGCAACGTTTCCCGCGCCCGCGCGTACCTACGTGAACAAGCACTTAGGCTTCTTATACACGAGCGGCTCAACCCGACGGCAGTGGCAACGGCAGCTGTCGCCAACTTTTGGCGGCTGTAGCTTGTCGCATCCTGTACAAAGAGACAGCTACAATTGCAGCTAACGCCACCTGTCGCCTGCAGCTAACGTCGATGAGTCGACAGCTGCCGCCAAAGGGTGGCTGCCGTTGCCACTGTCGTCGGCTATGAGCCGCTCGTGTTTAAGAACACTTACGATTTTACACCCCTGATATGTAGATAAAAGTGTGGTATGAAACCATAAAGTTAATAGACCTAGCGGAATAGAGTAATAAAGGACTATGCGAGCGAGATGTTGGTTAAAAAGAGATGCGTGATGCGCCATGACAGAACCAGAACCGAACCGTTTTTTTTTTTCAACTATTTGACAGTTCGTTAAAACTTATAGGCACGCTGAAAATTACAAATTTTACGTGAATGAAATTGTGGATGTTTATGAGAAATAGTGCTTCAGAAACTTGGTGGCTGGTTCAGTGATTGATTGTAAAAAACAGTGAAATAATCCTGACAACTGACACACAAATGACATCAGTGACTTCTGTTAGGATCTGACTAGACTTAAGATATATAAATTAAAGGCGGACTGTATTTCATAGGTATAATGATTATAAAATATATCGCTAGTTCGCGCCTACGTGGGAGGGCCGCGTCTGACACCGGTGACGGTCGAGAGGCTGAGTGGAGCGCGGAGCCGATGATGGCCGATCGATGTCGATGAAGTCCGAGGACCCGAGAAGCGCCAACACATCCTTAAATCGGTTTCGTTTCACAGCTCGTGGTTGTTGCTCTATTCCGAACGAATATTAACTTTATGTATGAAACATTGATTATATTCTTTCACAATGATCTGGTGTAAATTTGCTCTGTATTCAAGCATGCACAGTGGTTCCGCTGTAGGACATTCGCTATGATTGATTCCTTGAGGGATAATAACACACACATTTTAAATTGCACCCACAGTAAATAAACATTTGGTATTGATTTTTGCTACAGAAGATAACATGTTTTACGCGCTCAATCATTACCGTAATTAATGCAGTGTTTTTATTACATCGCTGTTTTCAAATAGCTTGTGACAGTTGTTTTGAAATGGGAGTTTTAAGTAAAAGGTAAGTATTTGGTTAAATTTATTATTTTGCATTTATTAATTTTTTATTTTGTAAATGTTATGCTTTTTCGACTAAGGGTGTAATAACAGATATATCATTGCCGCCAAAAAACAATAATTAATATATTCGCCAAAAAGGCACCATCAAATTAGAGGCGTGATGACTCGTTGCAGTGGCGCAACTGTGGCGCGCGTGCACCACTTCCGTGACTAACGCAAACTCTAGTGGCGCTGCAACTACGCTAAGCGCAAAAATGCCGCGCCACTAATTTGAAGGCTTCCTAATGCTCCATAATTCATCTCTCTTTTTGGGTACTTATTTGTGATTTTTTTTATTGTTAAATAAAACAAGCATCGCCATAAATTGAACAGGCATAACCAACACGTTCTTTTTTGTTTACAGCTTTTTTTAAAATTCAGATGGTTTGATGAAAGTAAATGTATGTATGTATCAATGTGGTAGATAGAAACGTTTAACTTATAAAAAAATAATATGTAAATAGATTTCTTGTAATATAATTAATATTTTAAGATAGAGAAAGAAATTATAACTTAAAATAGTTAACAATCAACAATCTGCCTCAATAAAACAATCGTTAAGTATTTTGGTCTACATTTAAAGTTGAAAAATAATTTCGGTCTGTTGATAATATCGATAAAAAAAATCAATATTTTTATTTACTCCAGTTTTTTATTTGTTTCAGGTAATTGCCCCTAGGAAAAGCTTTAATCGGCAATTTCTATTAATATAATATAAAAACAGGTGTAGTCTCTATAATGGACTTTAAACACTACAAGTGGCTTAGAATGGTAGAACCACGTATAGCAAAATTTGTATACGGTATAATTAAATTCAAAATGGTAATAAATATTTTCAAAAGTCCTTCCTAACGAATTTGAAAAATTTTGTGTAATCTGAGTCCTAGTGCTTTAAAACTTGCTCAATGTTTGGTTAGTATTTCATGGTTGGTTTTAGCTGATAACTATAGAATTCTTTCATCAACAACCACCAATTCTACATTTTATCTATTTTTATCATTTTATTTTATTGTTACTACTTATTTCAAAGTATTTACTTATAAAGATGAACGGATTTTGATAAAATTCAGGTTTCTGTACCTCATCGGTTGTCCGTTGGTTATTGATAATGTCCAACAAAAATATGTTGTCATCTTAATATTCAAAGCAAACTGTATCTTTTATCAATGTTTACCTTTTACAGGCTTTGTAGGCTATTCTAATAGAAATGAAGGGCTATAAAAGACTTAGTTGGTATTTAGCTTAGAATATCTTACTTATCATTCCAATTGTGAGTACATTATACTCATGTGTCTTGCCCTCATTAGCCTATCTAGGGTTCTTTTTCACCCTGATATGCCATGTCACGTGCGATGTGTACCGATAGCTAGTTTTTATTTAAAAAATTGTCTAACAATATAATAGACACCATGACAAATTATATTCTTATACAACGTGTTAATGTAAAAGCGCAAAACCTTTCCAGAAATGTGTAAAAAAGAGATAACAAGTGCGCGAGGCGAAAACAAAAAGAGTGAATATCTTCGTAAATAATCCGCGAAAATTAATTTTAATAATTTACATAATTATTTTATAATATAAATAAGTTAGGGTGTCTGAGGTTTTGCGCTTTTTCATTAACACATGGTATACGATGAACTGGATCAGTTCATTAATTGCGAGACTTCCACGTAATATTCATAAATATAATAAAATTATTATTATAGATGATAGTTTACATTACTTATAATAAATTTTATTATAAGTAATTGCAGTCGCATTATAGAATAAAATACCAAAACAAAAAAAAATAAAAAAAATAAAGCCTGACAAAACAGGAGCGCTAAAAAAAAAGTTTTTAATTTGTATAGTTATAGACTATATACTTTGTGTAGTTATAGACTATTAATTTATTGTTATTTATTTTACTCGAAATTATAATGAAATATAAGATTGAATTATATTCCTTATGTTTTTCATTTTTATTTCATCTAAGCTTGTGTTTTTCGTAATAAATTGTTTATATCCTGCATACATGTTTCATTTGCCACAGTGTAGTAATTCTTAACTTAATATTACCCTTTCAACAATTTTCCTATGCTCATTACGTTGATAAGTGCGTTTATCGTTTCGTGTATCGATGCTGAACTTTTCACTAGAACACTGTGTGGTGGTGGTGGTGGTGGTAACTTAACCCACAACTACAACTAACAAGGTCATAGAATAGAGTTGTTAAGTTGAAGAACTGGTAGTAAGATTAGTAGTAACAAGGGCAACATAGAAAAGAGAAAATTCCTTGATATTACCCCCTTACTAATAAAAAATTACACGTATATTGAACACTTATTTAAATTTCATTTCCATATTAAACGTCACTTTAACCTTACTATACCTACTCGACGCAGAATCGTGGCAGGCGGGGCCATAAGTAATTTTTGAAACAGAGATGCACACTCGCCATTATTTTATTAATTATTGCGTAATATGAACAACTCTGTGTGACGACGTCACCCATAACCAGTGTGAGTGCGAGAAAAAACGTGATATGCACTGTCTTAATATACACCGGCTGCCACGAGACTTTGCGCCGAGTATAAGTATGGACGCAGACACTGTTACCAGAGAATTCGTGTAACACACGTAGATATAGCAATATTTCAACCGTCTCATTTCCAATTCGGACGCAGCGGCAAATCGCAAGACGAGGAGAAGGACGCGACGAACCACGTGGAGGCGCTGCACAAGAAGAAAGAGCGCATCTTCCGCAGCCTGTCGGCCGCCGGCGCGCTGGACGCGCCCGCCAGCGCGCTGCCGCCGCCCGCGCTGCCCGCGCCCGGCAAGTGCTTCGACGTCTACATCGCCATGGCCGCCAACCCGTGGAACTTTGTGGTGAGTCCTGCAGCTGCAGCTGTTAGAAGAAGGAGCTATCTTCCGCAGCCTGTCGGCCATTAACCAATCATTCTAAGACACACTTTATTGTAGCACTGAAAACAAAGTTCAATTTTCTGTTTTAAGTAAATTGAATTCCTTAATTAGTGACGTCATCATAGGCTCCCTTTGCCACGAGAGAGAGAGAGTTGCGTTTTGACAACTCCTTTTGAGTATAAAATATGTCAATTAAGAGAAAAGAGCAAGACTCTTTATCTGATTGCGACTACGGCTACAGCAACACAGCTACAACGTTAAGGTGTAAATACATGATGCACTTACTTTTTAACATATTTTTAATTTACATGTCTCTTTATGTGGATTCTTTGAGTTCATTAGTATCCTTTAGGTCACAACGTATTCATACCATCTTGTTTGTCATTTTCTTTGCGACGAAGGGAAGTTTATCCCTGAATTTATTCCCTTTTATTGGTTTACTGTCGTTTAAGCTGCAGATACTAGCTACACACAGTGAAAATAACGAAAACTTAATTTAACTGTGTGTGTCTCCACTTATCTAAACATTAGGTTAAAAGCATCTATTAGTGGGTGAGTAAATTATATTTTTCTGGAAGATATAATATTATTTCCCCGATTTGGTGACAGAGCAAGGCATATTTGAGACGTGTATAAGTAGTCGAAAAAATTACATAAATACTTTTTCCAGCGATAAGCCTGCTTTAATTGTGTTGTTCCAATAACTTGTTTTTTTTCTATTACCTTGTTATTAAGACAATAACTAGAACTCGGAAGACGTTATGACTATGATATCATTTTGTCCTTACAGGTGCAGCCAAACAGTACTAGACACACTCTACAAACTATGATGTCATCCTTGCAAGCAGAATGTCCCAAGTTGTCGGAAGCAGATTCTCCCACTAACCCAGTTAGTGGAGAGTTATATACTGTTTATTATGACAAGGACGCTTCTTGGTATAGGTATGTGTCAAGATTTCTGCCTATTAAACCTACACACATAATGCTTCTATTTAAAAAAACCTGGTTTAATTTTTGAATTTATGTTCTTGACAGAGTCACTATTGCGGGGGCAGTTTCTACAGAAATGGTGTCTGTGTATTTCTGTGACTACGGAGACTTGGCACTCTTCCCCACCAAGTCGCTGCGCCCGGTTCCATCGGCAGCTCCCCTGGCGCGCTCGTTGCCGCCTCAAGCAATCAAAGCGCGTCTTTACGGTAATCCTCATAAATTACTGCCTGTTTATATTATACTATTATTAGAAATCTCTTTTTACTCACAGGAAAAAAAAGAAGCACAAAAGATCCCATATGGGTCGCTCGCTGACATCGCTGAGCACTATGCTTAGGCTCTACATGAGGTACTCAGAAAGGTTTTTTTTGTTACAGATGTGTGGCCACTTCATCAAGACTGGACTGTAGAAGATTGTATCCGATTTCAAGAACTGTGTGTAGAACAGCAATTCGTAGGTATTTGCAAAGAGGTTGGCAAAGATCCTTTGAATCCCAATGAGCCATTATTGACTTTAGATCTTATCGATACATCGACAGACGAAGACATATATCTCAATAAGCAATTGGTTGCTGAATGTAGAGCTCGTCTAGCATCATCTTCTACTTCTTCTTAGTATTTTAATAATTATTGTGTATAGTGTAGTGTATCCTGCTTTTTTATTGTTATCGCACTGTTTTTTATGAGATATGATTTAGTATTTTCTGGCAAAAGTAAAGCCACACTTTATAGTTTTGTATTAGTGGCATACAAAATTTAGCATGCTGTGAATTAATTTATGTCGACTTAAGTTGTGATACGTTTAGAAATATTGCCAGAAAAAACTAATGATTATATAAAATTTGTTATCTGTTATGTTTCATTATTATATAAAACAAAAGACTATTTGAGTTTCGTGACAAGGGATTCAATTTTATTAATAGTAAAACCTGCACTGAAATAGATATGTTTAGGGCTTCCTAAATAATGTCTATTCAAATATGAAATTCTGTCAACGTTATTTTACATTTACTCAAAGTTTGTAGTTCCCTTTGATGCGCGACTAATTATGACGTCTATGTATGAACCATTTCAACATTGATACGCATGACTTAAATTCGTTACGACATTCCGTTTATTAAATTCATCTGCTTGATAATTTAATAATTATATCTGAAACCTGCGGTCGGATTATTATAGTATAAGCACTATGATAATGAAGGTAGCACAAGACATTACATAAAAATCTAGATAGTTTCGAAAAATATTAATTGAAATGACGCTTGTGATTGTTGTACGAATTTCTATATTTAATAGTTTTCGTGTCGGCTTTAAAAACATCGCGCACAGATTAGTATCATTAAAGTGCTGACTAGTAACTATTATAACGTTTTTGTTTAAGAATTCTCACTCAAAATCTATGAAATATCTGTATTTGCACTCACCAGTTGGCGCCACTGGCTAGTAGGGCCTGTGGCGCACAGCTAAGCGGTATCTCTCAATCTACAGCAATGGATCACTGGTCTGTTTTCATTTAATATAAGTATCATTTTATTTGCAAGGTTATTTATAGGTTGCAGTGCTTTTAATCACATTATACAGGAACGAAATTCAGTTATAGGTTTCTTCAGGTATATTTCAACTTTATGTTATTAATAACAGAATAATGTTATTAATTATGTAGTTTAGTTCTGTGATTAATGACATAGGGACATAGTTATATAAGCAAAATAATATTTTGCAGATTATGCATAATGGTTGTATCAGATTTTAATTATCACGGTACGACAGTTATTTACTCCAGTTACTTATAATTCCCAGGTAATAAATATATTGCAAAATATATTCTTGACTGTGCATATATCTACATACATGATTGGCTTCTAGGTGTCGTTTTATAATTATTAATTGTCATACTCGTACATAGCACATGCAAACAAAATAAAAAAACATACATTTAATATTTTTGTTTTATTTATACTTGCTGTAGGTACCCCCGCGACTTCTCACGCGTGAAGTTTGAATAAAATTTCAAGTTTTTCTTTACTGCTCCGTGTCGCTATTGGCTGAAGGGTGAAGGCACGTGAAGGTGAAGTTATACAGGGTGGAAACGATAAGTGATCTCACTCAATTATTTCTAATCTACATAAAATATCGAAAAACTGGTTACTGATCCTGAAAGTGCTTTACGAGCTCTTTCAAACGGCATAAATAATAATTTACAGAATAAACTAGATCTATCCGAAAATTCAATGTTTACAGCTTGCAGCAATGAAGCACTTTCATGATCCGTAACTAGTATTTTTATTTATCTGGTATAGTTTAGAAATAATCGAGTGAGATCACTTATCGTTTCCACCCTGTATAGCCTACAGCCGTCCACGATAAATGGGCTATCCATCCAACACATTTTTTTTTCATTTCGGACCATAGTTCCTGAGATTAGCGCGTTCAAGCAAACTAAACTTTTCAGCTTTATAATATTACTAGCTTTCCGCCCGCGTGAAAAAAGGGTTGCTTTTAGGGTTTTCCCGGAAATTGAAGACTAAACTAAAATAAGCCAAGTGCGTGTCGTGCTTGGACGAATATTTATTCGTCCAAGGCGTCGTGGCACGCGCAGTTTGGGGTTCCGTAGTTGTCCGTCGTTAACACAATATATTTCAAAAGCAAGCAAGCAATAACTTCATCTAAAGTCACTATTAGAATTTTCTTCTTAGGAATTTTCACTAGTTAAGAAATTGTATAATACATGAGCTAAATGACTATTACACTTAAACTAACTGATGTATCTTAACCGCTATAGTTTTCCTTGAAAGTTCATGAAAAGTAGTATCATCACGAAGTTTTCCAGATTTTTAAAGCCAACAGTTTAGCTTTTAGAGGGGGGGGAGAGGAAAAAAATTTTTAGCAATACGGCAGTCCAGTGTAGTAAATATTTTTGTCTCTTACTTATTAACAATCCAATATGCCAATTTTTAATAACAAACTAATTTTGGTGAAAAAGTGCCTAATTAATAGCTAAATAAGTAATAAAATAAAATGCTATATTTATATAAATATTTATTTCTTAAGTAATGGAGATATTTCACTTTCGCAGTTCTTCTGTAGATATTCCATATTTCTTTTTGAGTGCATCAATTTCTTCTTGTTTCTTTTCAACATCCATACCTTTAAATGCTTTGTTAGATCTGTAATACAGAACAACTAAATATCTGTTACAAACGTTAAATCCAGATAAATGATCACAGGCATTTTTGGCATCAAATATGTCCTCATATACAATAAATGCTGTTCCTCGCGTTTCTGGTGTATTACCCCTGTAACAAAATTAATAAACTTTATGAAAAGTGACAAAGTACTTTTGCAAAGTATAAAAATGAAGTTTTTGATATGGTTTTATTTTGTTCATTTTCTAAGATATTTTAGCTTGTTTAACAAAACTTACACGCGTATTTGGCGAATGGCTCCATATTTTCCAAATATGTCATACATTTCCTCGGCTGATATTTTATATGGCAAGTTTCTCACATATAAAATTCTATTTACTTCGGGTGGAAGACGCACCTAAAAACATACAAGTTGATATGAATTGGATGATTTGCTAACAAAATTATTAATTACATGCCATTTTCAATAAGAAAAGGTAATTACTTACCTAATTTATTACTAAAAATTTAGGTTAAAATTAGGTTATTGCACAAAGAGTAAAACACTGAGAATGGTGGTACTGCAGTATAAAACATTTTGCAAATACATGCTATACATAATGTAATAACGTAGCTTTCATATTATCAAAATAGGAACATTTAAACTTACATTTGCTCGCCTTTGAAGTGCTAAAGCCATAGTTTTCAATTGCAATCTAATACAATTAGTGTACCTAAATATTGAGAATGAATGACCAAATTAATATTCAAAATCGAGATAAGATCAGCAACTAGTAATCAAACAATTGTAATTATTTATGTAAAGAGTCGAAATTATTTGTATCAAACTCAAACAATGAAAAATCATAGCATTTTTCGATCAAACTCAAACTGACGCACAGACACAGACTGACATTAATGACACTTGTGTCTTGACAGTTTGTTTTTTTCTTTGATTCTCGTGAAGTGGTTTTAGCATTTAGCCAAAAGACAAATTAAAAAAATGTGATGTTTTACGGCTCTGGGTACAAGCCCTTTTATGCCAATCTTTGAAGTCCGTTTAATGTTTGTTAATGGTGAAAGCACAGATAGTGGGTGAAAGGATTTTTCTTATCGGTCCACTGTAGTACCTGAGATTAGCGCGTTCTAGCAAACAAACTTTCCAGCTTTAATAATTTACATTAGTTGTGCATGTACAATTGTATTTTATTAGTACCTAACATTTTATTTACGATGCATCTAAGCCTACGCTTGAGAGAATCTAGAAACCTCTGTGTAGCTGAGCAGCGACGACCTAGTGTATTACATAGGTATTAAATAAGTATTTAGTTTAAGTTAATGTTTCTCAACTCTCTTCCCCCTTGGACGTACACGTATTAAGCAGGTAACTTTTTAACTTAATTTTAAGCGATCAAATTGCATGTAAACAGAACTTGCTATTTAAAATTTAGTTGACAATTAAATTTTAACATGCAACTTGCTACTAAATTCTTTGCTTAGGTACAATTTTTACTTACCTAGTAACCCACATATAACTACTTAATACGTGTAAATCAGCCTTTGAAGATTACTTATTGTGTAACTTTCTTCGTAAACGAAGAAAGGAACAAAAAATCATAAGACTGAAGAAATTAAAGAAAAAGCTTAGTTAAATTATATAAAACATTTATTAAATAAGTAGGTACATTGATATTATTTATAACATTACTAACGATGAATATCTATTGATGCACGACGAGCACGTGTCCTATGTAGAAATATTATACTTATTGAGAGTAATAAAAGCAATACGGCCGACACCCCGCACATTGCGAATACGCCACCACGAAGTCTGTTTTCTCCTGTGTGTAAAAATTAAAAATTAACAACAAGCAAGTCGTAACGTAAGTTGTAATATTATGACGTAATACTACTAGGGTCCAGTCAATGTAGTCATAACTTTACCATTTTGAGGCGAGTGGCTGAAACTAACGCCGAAAGTTGTGTAGGTAGGTATTGCTTTCACAATAATAGTTTAAAAATTCAGGGTCCTGAATCACCACGTAATATTTAAAAAAATAAGGAATAAGTACTTTTTCCTTAACATTTGTATATCCGTTACAAATAGGAGAAAACGTTGCTAAGACGTAAGAAAAATAGTTTGAAAGTAGGCCTAATTTTTTCCTACCTTGTTGTGAAGCTACTTGTTCAGTATGCACTGGAGATGACGAAATGCTATATAATTGTGGAAGATATTGAAGCCAGAAAGCTGCATCTCGGTTAACATTTTGCACGTTTTGTGAAGTGATATCGTCGTGTATTCCATGTACGTAACCGTCCCCAACTTTGTACCGTTGCCAAACTGTTTCCACTGCTGGAATGCTGATTAAGGAAAAAAACACATTTATAACTAAAACTATCGTAGCCGTCGTGATTTCGATGAATTTAATACTAAGTTCAAATGATAAAAAAATATGTTTACCTATACCTAGTACCTACTTTATACTTACCCAAATTTTATGAAATTTACAATGTACTGTCGGAACTTTACAGATATCCGCTTTTGTTCCTGTGTTGCTGGTCGACGAGCAATTTGTAACATAAATGCATCTCCCAGTAATGCGATTAGATCTGTTCCATGTACCGCTCCTAAAATATTATGAGGAGTTTAATACTAGATGCTTTGCTTGCAACTTATTAAATGTGGAAATAGTTTTGCAACTTATTTGTTTTCGGCATTGTTGTGTTACTTAATTACCTGTATAGTTAAGCTGATGTCCATGGAGATCAGTAACGCTCGGTTGCAAGTAGCGGTAGACGTAAAGCCGACTTATGCGTCGAGCTAATCTAGCTGCCAATAATGCGTTACCAACGCTCCACCTTGCCGACGACTCCATTCGAGCCAGCCCCTCTACAGCATCAAGTGACTTGTTACCATAATCTTTATTCGATTTTACTCGCCAATATTCCCAATGAATTGCCTGTGATAACTGTAATAAATATGATGTAGGTATCGATGATCGATAAGGTTGACGGAAATAATTCTACATAGCATTAATTAAACTCTTGTTTTGTATTCTGCGGCACGGCACGTTTAGTCTTAACTAAATACTTACTCACCAATGGCGCAGAATCTGTTCGGTAAATTAAAAACATCTTCAATAGTTCGGGTATTCTTTCTATGTTTGCGTATTCATTTATTTGCGATGGACTCCGTTTCAACAACTCAAGGTAGTGATCATCTGTATGAAATATTATAATGGTTTATGGGTGCGATAGGCTTTATACTGGGTGGAAACGATAAGTGATCTCACTCGATTATTTCTAAACTATACAAGATATCGAAAAACTGGAAGTGAAAGTGCTTCACGAGCTCTTTCAAATGGTATCAGTAATAGGTTGCAGAATTAACTGGATCTATCCGAAAATTCAATGTTTTCAGACTCCATACTAAATATATGCCAGCCACACAAATAATAAACACTTAAATTGAACTTCAAATTGCATTCTCATTTAAAAATTATTCATGGAAAACATTGGTTTTAGGCTTTACTTGCTATAATATTATCAAGACATGAGTGCCATGACTGTGATAGTACTAAATGTATGGAAGCTGGAAACATTGAATTTTCTAGTTTATTTTGTAACCTATTATTGGTATCGTTGGATAGAACTTGTGATGCAATTTCAGGATCAGTAACTAGTTTTTGGAGTTTTTAATATTATGTGGTTAAATAAATGTATGGAAGCCGGAAACATTGAATTTTCGGGTAGATTTAGTTTATTTGGTAACCTATTATTGGTACCGTTGCACAGAGCTCGTAGAGCACTTTCAGGATCAGTAACCAGTTTTTGGATATCTTGAATAGTTTAGAAATAATCGAGTGAGATCACTTATCGTTTCCACCCTGTATAAAATAGTAAACCAACTTAATGCTTTACCTCTGTGGTTTATATCTTCCAAATCGGTGGCGCCCAACAGTAGATCAATTGGCATAATAGGTTGCTTCGTAGCTGAGAGTGCCATTGCCAATGAAACCGGCAGATACTGTTCAGAGATCGGTAGGAAATTGTCGGGTACGGGTTGCAATGTTTCATTCCAATTAAAGCGCTGTGTAAACAATCGGTAATCAGCTAAATCAAATTAATCCAGATCGTAAGTAAACTTTTGTATGTGTGTGTCTACTCGTGTAATAAAATTAGTTGATTTTTTTAAATAAAATATACTTACCGAATACAAAGACATAATATCAAACAAAGGCTTGTCACGCATGCAGTGTAATATTTCCTGATCATATTCACTCATGCATCCAGTTGATTGAGCAATTTTGCGAGACACTTGCTCCATTTCAGTAGCGTTAACTGCTCTACCTTCATCTACCGCTTTCCAAATATATCGTGGTGCCATAAGTATTGCTCTTTGAAATAGACCTATAAATAAAAAACGAAGTAATTTTAGCGGTTAACTTGATCACATAAAACTAATTAACTATATATTTTGTTTAAATGACTAAAATACCAACCGACGGACCGCGGTGAAACCATGTGATTTAGGATACTATCAGCACCAGCTGAATGTCCAATCAGCGTAGTAGCAGATGGATCGCCTCCAAAGGCGGATATGTTGTCTCTTACCCACAACAGTGCCAGATACTGATCAAGCAGCGCAAGATTACCACGAGCCGACAAAGACCGCAGCGTGAAAAATGCCAAAACTCCTAGGCGGTATGCTACGGTGACCACAACTAGGCCTTCAGCCGCTAACTCCTCGCAGGGTAACGTCACTCCTCCACGGTCCCAGGTTTCGCTGTAAAATATCACCACAACCGGCATTGATTTACCGTCTGCCCGCTAGCTGGAACATATTTTAGTGGGTTACAATTTGAAATTAATTTAGATAAACTTAATATGTATTACTTAAATTTAAATAAAATCGAACCCGAGATGTCCATATGTTTAAAAACAGGCAGTCTTCATTGTAATTTTCGCCCGTATTCTCATCAATGACTTGCGGACAACGAGGCCTCATACGATGAGCTAAAAATGTCTTTCTCCAGCCAGCGTGTCTCTCTGGTGCCTATAAAACCAAATATACAATCAAATAAATATTGAAAAAGAAAAACATACATGTTACATGTATACCTCATTTATGTTTAATAATGATGTCAGGCAACTATAATATAATATTATTGTCGAGTCTCCAAAATAATTCTTTCAGTCGCGTGGTGTCACGTGTAAACACACGGGTAATAGATGTTTACAGTCGATATCAAAAATGTGGATAGGAAGGGTGGATGGTTACGGACGATGGCACATGAAACCTAGCAATATCCTATGTAATGGCTACATACATAATATTAATATTATTATGGGTGTATACTTACCGCAAACCTGTATCTTCCAATGGGTGGATTTGCATATGGGATTCCATAAAATATTTCTATAGGCGTTAGTGAGTTTTCTGTGTAAACTTTTGTCTGAAAACCATGAGAAAATATAAATACATATTTTACTTACATTACCTTCGTCTTTCGGTAAATGTTTATTTTCGTTTGGTGCATGAACATCCACAATTTTATTAAGGATAAATTATTTATTTCCAAACTTTTTTTTGTAATAGGTGTCTATGTTGTATTGTACCTGTTTCACAATGATATTAATGATTATGATAACACTCCACTCTGTCAAAACGAGGTAATCATCAGACATTAATATTACCGAAAAGCGTGTCGAGATACGATTTATTTATAGATGATCAAAGGACACTAAAGAAAAATTTTACTGGACTCCAAGGACACTAAATTGTCGCTGGAAGTCCCCTTTGATCACCTGATCAAAGCCAGGTGATCAAAGTGGAATAGACCTAACACCCAGACGCGAATTTAAAAGTTTGTTCTGCACAAAAATCGAACTGGGTTAAGAAAGAACCACAGTATGTTAATTC